TAATTGTCTCCTGCTGTTCGTAATAGCCATAGCCGCAGCAGTCCTCGGCACCAGCACCAGCACCGGCGCAGCCAGCGCAGCAGCGGCCGAGCGGCTCTTGAACTGGGAGCCCCCACTGGCAATCGACAGCCAGCCCACACAGGCAGGGTTCCTGGTGCGCAGTCTGTATCGGATCCTGCAGAGCATTGGTTTTGTGGTGACGTCGGTCGTTTTGGTGATCGGCTACGGCGTTTTTGTCGTACTGCTGCCGGGGCTTTACAACCTAGCCAGATACCTGGTGCACGCCAGCAGCTCGGTGATATTCTGCACCATTCTTGCGCTGGCCCTGGGCCTCAGCGGTCTGTATTACTTCCGATACTACTATGCAGCGCCGCCTAAGACGCAGTTACATGGCCACGAAGATCACAAATCGGCGACCGAGAGCGGCTTTGATTTGCACCCGGACGTGGTTGCACGCGGCGACGATGGCGACAGCATGTCGAGCTACTTGGCGTCGCTGGAGTCTCGCAGTAGCAGGGGTATCGGGTTCCCTACCGACTTCCTAAACATGTTCATGAAGAGCATCAGCATTTTCGGCTACATCGAGGAGCCAGTGTTCCACGAGTTCTCGCGGCAGCTGCAGACGCGTCGGCTGCTGGCAGGCGAGCGCATGTTTGATAATGACGGCGACCGCGACGACCAGAATTTCTATGTCGTTATCGACGGCCAGGTGCAGATTTACTTGGTTGACCAGGCCGATGGACAGGAGGCTGTGCAGACATCTCCAGAGCACACGTTGCAGAATGACCCTGTCGACAGCTCCCAAATCAACACTGGCGAAAGCTCCTCGTGGTCAGCTTCATTCGACGATTTGGGCGCCGATTACGCATCCGACCTGAATGAGCAGCATGCGGATGAAGTAGACGGCGAACCGGCAGGGTCGGCCATTCTGCTCAACGAGATTGGGCCGGGCGATGTGCTGTCGAGTCTATTTTCGATTCTGTCGCTGTTCACCGAGGGCGTTCCGCTACGCCAGCACGTGCACGACGATTTGCCCGCTGGCAATCATGTGGACAGTCGTGGTGGCGACCAGGTGTCCGCTGTAGATACGAGCGGGGTGCTGCGCAGCATCCACCTACAGGACACAACACGGCCGAACGTGATTGCAAGAGCCACCACCGACACTACCCTGGCCATGATTCCTGCCAACGCCTTCCAACGAGTGACGCGTCTGTACCCAAAGGCTGCCGCACACATTCTGCAGGTTATCCTGACCAGGCTGCAGCGGGTGACGTTTGCCACCCTGTACGACTACTTGGATGTGCCGCACGAGCTGGTAGCCGTCGAGCGCAACATTGGCGAGCTGGCGAAATACTCGATAGACGCTGGCAAGGCACTGCAGGCTATCAAGGGCATTTATGGCAGCAGTTCAGCCGAGCAGACTAGCAGGGCTACTGCGCAGAGCCCTTTACTCAATGCCTCACGTGCTGGCACAGGCAACGACCTGCCCAGCTACTCTCATCGCTTCGGAGCTACCGCCGGGCTGCAGGCGTCGTGGAAGATCAGCCATGCTATGCTTAGTGCACTGGCCAAGCAGGTCACGCAGAAGCCGCCTATGGAGAATGAGCCCGAGGCTAGCCTGGAACTGCCAGAGGCAGCTAAGATTACGCGCAAGAACAGCACCCAGGACCACAGTCCCCGCCACCGCCGGGCAGGCCAGCGACTCTATTCCCCTGGGCGGCGTGCCAAGCGGTGAGAGCATTGAGCAGCTGCGCAAAGATGCGCTGCATATGCTGTGTCTGAGCATCGGCCTGAATCCCGACACGGCCGATGGCCGGTATCCGCAAGCCAGCACTGAAAGGCAGGCATTGACACCCACTGGGACAATGTCACCGGTGGCCCACTCGAGCACACCGACAAGCCGTCGCAGCAGCACCCACCGCAAACTGCCGCGGACCGAACATTTCCTCCCTCTTCTGCAGTCAATCAACCTGCCTGCATCCCAGCAGCGTGCAGCCTCTGGCACGCCGCCACTGCCGCTATCAGAGATTCCGTCGCTGGCCAACGAGCTCGAGCTGTACTGCGTGCCCGACAACTTTGCTCTGGTTGAGCAAGGCGAGCGGCCCGCTGGTCTGTTCATTGTCCTGGACGGAACAGTCGAGGTGACGCCGCGCAAGTCTGCCGCAGGGTTTGCGCGTGGCAAAGGTGCGTATTCAGCTGGCTCAGCCGATGCCTCGCAGAAGCAGCAGATCAGCGACCTTACTGCACGCATGACGAAACTTGCACGCAAGGGCAACCGGGATATGGAGCGCAGGGAGCACTCCAAGGCACAGAGCAGCGGGGCGTCAAGCAGATCATCGCTGAACAGTGCGCCGAACTCACCGTTCAATCGCCCAAAGCAGGTTTCCAGCTACGCGTTCCTCGGATCTGGCCTGGGAGATAGCATCGACGACGAGTATGATGGTATCATAGATGGTGGCCGGCGACTGCGGCGCCAGCCTTCAAAGCTGCCGCAGGGAAAATGCAACCAAAACGTACAGGCTGGGTGCCGGCGATCTGGTCGGGTATCTTCCAGCACTTACGGATATGGCATCGTTCTGCACTGCACGTACGCGCGGCAGAGTTATCGTTGGCATGGTGTCGCGATGGGCCCTGGATCGAATTTGTGAGCGCTATCCGATCATATTGATGACGCTTGCACGTCGCATCACGTCGCAGCTGCCGCCGGTAGTGCTCAACATCGACTACGCTCTGGAATGGGCGCACGTGCGTGCTGGTGAGATGGTTTATAGGCGCGGTGAGATGAGCGATGCAGTCTACCTGGTGATAACTGGCCGTCTGCGGGCCTTTGTTGAGAAAGACAACGGCAGCATCAGTATCCTGGCAGAGTACGGCCAGGGCCAGTCGATTGGTGAACCCGGGCTGCTACTCAATGAGCCATGCTCTTCGAACCTGCATGCAATCCGCGATACGGAGCTAGTGCGTATTCCGACTGCGCTGTTCAAGGCGCTGATGCGCACTGCCCCCAGCCTGACCTTCCACCTGAGCCGTGCCCTAGCTGTGCGTACAGCGCAGTCGCTGCAGAGCCACCAGCTGATGGAGCAGCAGCGTTCCCGACTGGCCGACGCTATGGGATCGCATGGCGGCGAGGTGGCATGCGCAGCCACAACAAGAACCTGAAGAGCATTGGCATTATCCCTGTCAGCAACGACGTGCCTGTGCATGTCTTTGCACAGCAGCTTGAGCACGCGCTGCGCAGTGTGGCCGGCAGCGTTGCACTGCTAGACCATACTGCTGTGAGCCGTGTGCTGGGCCGCCATGCGTTTGGGCGCATGGCCAGGCTGAAGACCATGAGCTGGATCGCCGAGCTTGAGCAGCGCTGCCGGCTCCTTTTGCATGTGGCTGATGGCGGCATCAGCTCGCCGTGGACCCGGCACTGTGTGCGCCATGCTGACTTCATTCTGCTGGTAGGTGTTGGCGACGGTGACAGCAGTGTAGGCGATTATGAGCGCCTTTTGCTGTCACTGAAGACCACAGCGCGCAAGGAGCTGGTGCTTCTGCACGAGACGCGCAGCTGCCCCACTGGCAGCACACGCGAGTGGCTCCGACTCCGGCCCTGGGTACATGCCCACCACCATGTGCAGATGCCGCTGGGTGTGCTGGACATGGAGGGGCGATATGGGGGGTGGTCAGTATGGCAGCGGTTATCCTTGGCAGCGCCCGGTCACTGCTCGTCAACTCGCTGGTGCAGTCGTCGCGCAAGGTTCTGCCTAGAGTGACACGTCGGCATATCCGCATCCTCAAGTCGCGCATCGAGCACTATTACAACGCCCTGAAGCACAGCGACCCATATGCACGCAAGACACTGCATGGCCCGCGCTCAGATTTTGCACGTCTGGCGCGCTACCTGTGCGGGAAATCAGTCGGCGTGGTCATGAGCGGTGGCGGTGCGCGAGGAATGGCTCTGCTGGGTGTTTCTGCAGGCATTCGAGGAATCCGGGATTCCGGTGGACATGGTTGGTGGCACTAGCATTGGCGCGTTTGTCTCGGGTCTGTATGCACAGAGCCCCGACACTGTGTCGATTCATGGGCCGGCAAAGGCATTTGCACGCCGCATGAGCTCGACCTGGCGCTTCCTCCTGGACGTTACCTACCCGATTCTGGCGTACACGTCGGGCCGCGAGTTCAAACCGTGCCATCTGGAAGGTGTTCCGTGATGCCGAGATCGAGGATCTGTGGCTGCCCTTCTACTGCATCACCGCCAACATCACTAGATCGCGGCCGGAGGTGCATATTGCTGGGCTTTTATGGCGGGTTGTGCGTGCCAGCATGTCCCTTAGCGGGTTCCTGCCTCCCCTGTGTGACGCCAACGGCGATCTGCTAGTCGACGGCGGGTACCTTGATAACCTGCCTGTGCGCGCCATGCAGAGCGAGCTCGGTGCCGACATGATCTTCGCTATTGATATTGCCGGTGAGAACGACTCGAGCCCTGTCAGGTACGGTGAGTCGGTGTCAGGACTCGGTGTTCTGCTGAACCACCTGAACCCATTCCGCAAGTACTGGATCCCAACTCTGTCCGAGGTGCAGACGCGCTTGACATACTCGTCGTCTGACAAGGAGCTGGAAAGCGCCAAGGCAAATTCCGGATGCGTGTACTTGCGTGTGCCGCCCAGGGATGTTGGCGTATTAGACTTTGGGACGGTTTGATGAACTCCACCGGAGAGGGTACCAGTACGCAAAGCTGTGGATATCGGAGTGGCAGCGCGAAGGGCTGCTGGGGCTTTGGCAGGAAGACCGCGGTGCAGCAAGGTGCCGGAAACTCGCTGTCCACGAGCCATTCTGAGGGAGCAACGCCAAAGGCGCTCAAGTTGGCCCGCCGCAACTCCATTTGATCTGCGATTACAGCAACGAGCGCATTTATACATGTTGATGTAATAGCATACCGCACATTTAAATCGATTTGATACACTGGTAATATTGGAGGACTCGTGGGCATCACGATTTCGAGCTGCAGAGACACATTAATACTCGCACAGGTTGAACTCTTGCTCAAAATGCGACGAAGATACATCCTCGTTTTTTGCTGTGCGCTCCTCCATCAGCTTCAGACGCTCTTCCTTGGCCTTTTGAAGTGACATGGGCCACTCGATATGCTCGACCAAACAATCCTTGATAGTAAGAGGCAGGTCACCAAACAGCGGGAGCTCGAACACCTTTTCAGCCCACCAGCCCTGCTGCCGCGGGGGAACAACCTTAGTCGATGGAATTCTCATGGACGGATCGATGAGGAAGAAGGCAAGGATCTTGCGGTGGCCGGGCTTTGACGGATCCTTGAGCTTGAAGCCAGAGACCTGGTGCAGGTAGGTGTTTGGGAAACAGATGCAGCGGCCATTGAGTGCCTCGACACCGCTAGGCTCTTGGGAAAGCGTGGCACTATTATTTTCATCTAACTCGACTCCATACGCAAGCCTTATACCACGCGCATCACCTTCCTCGCAGTCCAAGTAGCTGTCAACCGACTGGCGGAAATTGAGCCTGCTCTCTGTGATATTATCAACGTCGTAGTAGTAGATTCCCGTGGCAATGATGCGCTCGTTGGCCATGGCCTCGACATGCCAGCTGCCACCCTCATACTCTGGCTTGTCTGGAGTCAGTATGATGTTCGACATCTTGACGATCGCCTGAAGGCGACGGCCGTGGAAGCTGAAGGCGGGGAATATAAAGGCAGGATGCAAAAGGTCTGAGGAGCATTTTATAGGCACCCTCATGCCTGTATTTTCCGCAGTCAAATTGCGTGATTCATGCAGCTTGGGTCGAGCTGCACATACAAACCGCCTATTTAAATACCACCTTTCTCGTTATATTTGTGTACACTAAAATGTATTCAACAGGCAAGGTTTCCCTCCCGCAGGCTGACACTGTTGCTCTGCACATCGCTGATCTCGATTGACCTTGTCTCTGTGCTATGTGTCTGAAGTGTGCTCTCCGAATCACCATACTGCTGCACAGCAACGTCCTTGTAATACGGAATCTCCGAGTGGAAATAGGTCTCCCCGCGGAACCAAACCATGCGAGTCGGCGATGCCACGCAGGACAAAGAGCTGGCGGAACCAGACACCGGCAGTCATGAGCAGTATCATCGCCACAATCTCTGCAATAAGAATTCCGGTGTGCTTACCGTTGTGCGGATAAGCACCAGTGACTACGTACTGAAAGATTCGGTAGCCGTTGTAGGACGGCATCGCGTAGAAGATCTTGTAAAATCTGGGCGCAAGTTCAGGGGCGGTCGCACATGCGACAACAGTGCAGATAACAGTAGGGACGGATGGACAGGCGATAAAGAGAGGCGGAATGTTCAGGAACCAGTTGAACAGCCACAGTGGCATTTGCCGAGTTGGACTGCTGCCGCAATGAACCATATCTTGAAGAACGAGGCTGCAGTGTACTTTAGGGCATTTTCACTGTAGTCCGGACCACGGTACACAAGGAATGCCAGCGACAAATAGAACGACAGGATGAGTGACATGCAGACGATGAGAGCTGGCCACATAATGGCCAGATCTCTGAATCTGACCTTGGTGAAGAATGGGAATGTTGTGAGCTTCCACATAATCATGACTGCCAATGAGCAAAGCAACATGCAGAAGCAGCCGAACATGAAGGCGAACGGTGCGTTGTTGTAGTTGTCTGGCGATGCCTCGACTGTTGTGTATCCAATGGGTGCAGTAGCGCTGCATTTGTTTGTGCCGCATCTGATCCACCGAGCCCCATCTGCTGCGACTGGAATGCCTTCACAAGTTGGAGCGAGTACTGGCTTGAAACTACAGATGCTGCCTCGGTCAGCCCTGCTTTGATGAACAACATCTCGCCAATCGGGTGCCGACCACTCGACTCGATAACAGTCAGCGCCTGTGAGGGTCGTAGGATGAGCCATTATATAGTGCGTTGTTCAGCCTGTCGCTCAGGCCAGGATTTATGACCAGAGCTCCCCATGCGTTCTTCCGCACCCATGTCTCGACGCTTTCAGGAGAGTCAAAACCGCCCATGCGAACCCATGTCGGGAGAGAATCTGTTTCAGGGATATCCATGACCATTTGTGTTATATTAGCACCAACCGGACGCCATCGAGATCGACTATCTGCACCGACACATTGTGCGCCAATGTACTGCGTTTGTATATACAGCCGTAGAATAGACACAGTGGTACCCAGATCATGACTGAAAAGACTAACAGGAGTTGAGATAGCTGATCGTAGGCGTGCGGATATGAGGGCGAAAACTGCTGCTGAAGATGCTCACGCGACCACTGTCGCTGTCAGACTGGTATCTCCAGGAATATAGTCCACGCATTGCAGGATTATGAAAATGTTTGCAGGCAAAAGGAATCAAAGGTAGAGAATATTTGAAGTGCGAGTCAGCTTGGAAACGAAGCAAGGAAGCAGAGAGAAGAATTTATAGCTGCCCAGTCAGGCACTAACAAGCCTTTACCTGTTGCCAACGGTATTCGGTATTCGGCAAAAGATGACTACGGAACAGTGACTATATGCGGCCAGTACCCAACTTCGGGGTTCCACTGGTGATGGTGACTGCGTTTCATGCCAGAAATGAACACACTACATGAAAAGCGGACGAATCAGAAGCCAGGACACTTGGTTTGCGGCTTTAAGTCTATTCTCTGCCATATACAAGGATTATATAATCCGAAGGTGTCCGGCCATCCGCCAATATCTGAATAGGCTACAGTGCACAGCAGTGGTTGTATAAAAGTAATACCTTAAATGGTAGTCACATAGCAGCTTGTTATTGCCATTTCCATTGCCATCTGCGCACAGAGCATGCATAGCAGTCCCATACCTGGGAAGCAGCGCATTGAGACATGTAGACTCGCTATGGA